CCCCCCCCCCCCCCTTTTTTTTTGTTCAACAAAGAGAGTTGATTTATAATGTATGTAAGTTTACAACACAGTCTATCTTTTTTTAATTTTTCCCACACAGAGGACTAGAGGAGCACAGCAGTTGATGATCAAGTTGTAACTCTGCATTTTCATTTATGCGTGCATGCGTGCGTGAGTGTGTGTGTAAATGTGGGCAAGCAAGACAAGATTGAAATATAAATAGGAAGTTGGAGCATACCTTTGATGATCCATTATCCATGTACTCAAAACTATGGTTGTAATCAGATAATGCAATATAGTCATCTATTTGCCACTGCAAAATGCTACCAGCTGCGGAACCCCCGGTAAATGACACCTTCGGTGCTGCAAAATCTTGACCTCCACCACCAACATTGACGCTCGATACCTTGCAATCACCAACTGATGGAGTTGGGGTCTCTCTCTTAGACACAGGATGAGATTTTATTTCTGACCTTTTCTCCCCAGAAAGTGACTTGCCAGAAGAAGTGGAAGCAATAGGTTCAGTTGGCTCTAGGCCAACTTTCACTCCAGTAAGCAGGAACCTCTGGTGACCAGACACAAAGGTGTTTGCTGTGTGTATGGCCAAATCACATTTTCTGCAAAGTAATGCTCGATCCTCTAAACAGAAGAAATAGCCAACTGTCTCCTGCAAAGACACAACGCATCTATTTAGTCTCAAAAGAGAGAGAGAGAGAGAGAGAGAGATTTGATTCTAAAAACTGTAGAACGAATAATATACCAACCATGGGTTTTAAAAGCACCCGAGGCGTACGCCTCGGGGCGCGCCTCAGGGTGCGCCTCGTGGCGAGGTGTTTCTTCACCGCCTCAAAGCTTATGCTTTGAGGGGCGCACGCCTCCAAGCTGCGCCTCACCTCACGAGTTGGTAGAGGAGCGCGCCTCTTTGCTTCTATGTTTTTGTGGGGTTTTCAAAACCCAATATGCTTGGGCCCAAAATTTTAAAGCCAGCCCGAATTAAATAGGCCCAGAAACATTAAAAAAATAACCCTAAGAAATCAGAACAACCGACTATCAGAGAGAGATCAGAAGTTCAGAATAGCCAACTAGCTCACTATCTCTCTTCCGCGTCAGTTATCTCTCCTTCAAGCTTCGACTCTTAAAAGAGCAACAAGATAGCAGGTACCTTTCTTAACTTGCTTCTTTTTTTTTTTCTTTTCTTCTCTTGGTGGATATCAGTTATCCACCAAAACAATATTTTGCGGATTTAATATTTTAGCTTAATGTGGTGGTTTTTTTTTTTTTTTTGGTTGCTGATTTATGAATTAATAGTTTTCTTATATAACGTTAATTATAATAATCATATTAAAGATAGTAACTCCAGTATAATATTGATTATTAGGTGTTAGAGGCAAGGAGACCATTCAAGTGGATGAAGAAGAGGAGTGGATAGACTTTCACTCTGACAGTGAAGAATTTGTAGACAATGAGAGACAAAAATTGGCTGATGCTTCTCTTAGTACTAGTAGTGATGAATCTGATGATGCTTGATGAGTTGGGAGAAATCTGGGGTCTTAGAAGTGCATTATGGACCTTATAATATTAGGATTTGGTGACTATTTACTATTTTTTATGCGTCTAGTAGTGAAATAGACTTGTCTTTTCATGAATTGAGTGGTTAAATTTCTTGTTTTTAATGATTATTGAGTAGGGATTTAGTTTTTCATTACTATTATTTTTTCCTAAACTTTTTTTTTTGACATTTTTTGAGGCTTATGCCTCAAAGCGCCTTGAGGCTTACGCCTCGCCTCGTAAAAGGCAAAACACCTCGAGGCCTGATTCCGCCTTTTAAAACCTTGATACCAACAAATTGAAGAATGAAAAGTTTACACAAATTAATAAGAGAAATCATGTTTCGTCAACGTTAAAACTGATAGATGAGCACTTATCAAAAAGCTCTTACATCATTTATTAAAGGAAAAAATTAAATACATTGAGAAAATAAAGACAACAACTACAGGCAGAAGAAAATAAAGACAACCACAGAAATGCAGAGACCTAAATTTAAAGTGCAGATGGGAAAACATATTAACATAGCAATTTACCCTCGCACAGGGTACCAGAACATTGTATGTCAAGACTCAAGAACAAAATCGGCCCAACTGAATTGTATGTGCAAAAATTATAATCCCTAAAAGACAATATTAAGCCGGCTCACCAACTGATCAACTCCTGAGAAAGGACTAGATCGACACATATAAGGGACTATACTTGAAGAATTTGACTTAAATAGGCTTGAATAAATTATTATCACCTCGTGGATGCACCATCTCTCTAGTAAGTCTTGTGACCTTATTCAATAAAATTCGTACAATATGAAAACCACAACATATTGCTATACCATTGCTTATCCTCCTGTATCTGCTACCAAATAAATCTAAACAGCATATGGAACAAGTCAACACTACCTAAGGCATCACAACAAGATCTTGCTTTAAGGGTCAGGGGTGATAGAAGACACTCATGTCTATCCTATCCAAGGTGCATGTCTCTAGGGCTTAAGCGCCGAGGTGATTAAGGGGTACACCTCACTTTACAAGCGTGGTTGAGAAGGAAGCCCCACTCAACATGAGGCTAACACCTCGTCTCTTTGAAGCAGAAGAGCCCAAGTATATGCAGTATGCCTTGGACCTTTTAAAACACAATGATTATTGTTTTTTCTCATTACAATTCGAAAACAAATTGGCGCAAGTAATATGACACCAGCTATTAGAGACACGCAGAACAGTTTAAAACCATTGTCAAACACAAAGAAGTACAGATCTCTACATCAAAGCAGGTAGAGGAATCTCGCGTAACATTATGTGTACATCAATCTAGGTGGAGTCTGGTTATACAATCTCTTGTACTCCATATTCTTTTCCTCACTCCCACAGGATTTATACTCGTCCTCTTACTTTAGTCTAGTGCCCACTATTCTTAGCATCACCACGTCACTTGTATGAGAATCCTATGATTCTGTTACTCGTTATTATCTATCTCATTCCCAGTGCTACTTAATACTTCTACTATTATTATCTTTTTTTATGCGACGGAGTAGAATTAGACTATGATTCAATCGTTCTAATATATGAATTCTGACTGGCTATTGGCAGTTAGGGGGTATATATGTAATTGCGTCAGAGTCTTAAGGTTTTTAATTTTGGTTTTGTTTTAGCTTGGCTGTGATTAGGTAATTCGCTTTGTAATGGATTTTTTTTCCTTCTTTTGACAAATTAATTTTCAATTATGCATTGATTTTTAGCTTTTGTTCAAGCAATTGGAAAATAAATATTTTTTAAGATTAGCCTTTCTTGGAAATTTTCTTTAGGACATTAAATTATCGTTCTAGTTAGGCATTCAAAATTTTGAGGAGAGAACAATTTGATAAGGTTATCAATATGTATTCGACTTTTATCTGTGTAAAATACAAATCTTTGCTTTTGAAATATACATAAGGTCATAATATAAGGAGAGACTAATATAGTGAAGATATAATGATTAGAATTCAACATTTTGCAACACTCCGGCTTCCAACCATCATCATATCTTTAGGCATTAAGGATGATGTTCTCTTTATTTTACTCAAAGATATTTGTTTAGAGTAAATAAACCTGTTCTATAACAGGAATCTATTGTTGTTTTCATGTTTTGTAGGTTTTAGATTAGATTACATTTGATCTGTATATCATGTTTGCAATAGAATGCATAGGAACTCAATTGGATTATCTAAAATTTAGTTTGCTCACTTAAATTTATTTCAAAAGGGTACCAGCTTGATCTCTTTTTTTCTTTTTTATGGCCTACCAATCTTATCCTGTATTTTGTAATTTTGATTGGTTCCTTTAATTTTAGATCAATATTAGGATATATCAACAACCAACTCAGAATTGAATTTTAAGACTGGTTTCAAGAATTGGTTCTCGTTTATTTGTTATTTCTCATCTCTATATTGGTATTCAAGAAAAAAATTTGTGCCTTTATTTTGTTGATATTTTAAATTCAAATGGACAAATGACTAATTTAGGACATCTTAGTAAATCGGGAACTTGATCGTAGACCTTTTAAAGGTCGGAGACCAAAGTAAGATTTACGAGAACTAATTATGAATTTAACCCCTCGTTACTTAAATCAATATGAGGATAGTTCTTTCAACAACCCACTCAGAATCAGAATTTGATTTCAATAATGATTTCTGGAATTGATTCCCTTTTATTTTTCATTTCTTGCTCATAATTCTACCGTATTCCTCTGGGATTTCATCGATTGTTAAAAGGTCACCAAGCACTAGCAGGATCACATAATCCATAATCAAATCAGTAAAACTAAATATTCTGCACCTAAGAATCAGATTCCATAGCTCTTCCAAAAAAATTTGCATAAATAAATAAATAAAAACAGAAAATAGAGAAAAATATGAACAGAAACCAGAAGAAACAGAGAAACTCAAATCAGAATCGGAATTCAGAAAGCGAAAAGTACCTGACAGATATCGCATTTAGGCATGTTAGAGGAGGATGTAGAGAGCGGAACTCTCTGATGCTTGCTGGCGAGCTTGTTGGCAGCGTGGACCTTCTCGTCGCACGCCCAGCACAGCGCCGCCTCGTCCGCGCAGCAGAGCACGTTCGCCTCCGCCGCCTCGCACACGTTGCACTGTATCTTCATCTTCCACTTTCTCTCTCTACAATATCAATATCTCCTGAAAAAATCTCCAATTTCTCTCTCTAGAATCGCCGCCGCTTTCTAGTTTCGCCCTCCAGAGCTCAGACACACTCTCTCTCCCCAAAAATCCTCTCCGTTTGAAATGAGCTGTCTCTCTCTCTCTCTCTCTCTCTCTCTATATGTATATCTATATATAGAGATTACTTTCTCTCACTAGAATTAGAAGAAGGATATTTTTGAGGCCACGAGGGTGGTAGTCGACGTGGCAGGCTCTGAGAACTGTCGTAGCGCGGGAGACCAGAACGCCAACGAAAAGAAATATCTCTAGCGGCGAGTGACTTCCACGCTCCTGATTGTTCGATTTTTATTTATTTTTGTTAATTTCTCCGATTTTTAGTTTTATGTTGGCTTCAAGATTTTTCTTCTGTCATTGAGAATATTGTAAGTGCCAGTGCTGTTTATAAACCCGTAAAACCCGGCAGCACAATCCATCTTACCTTAATTTAATTTGAAAAATATAATTTTTAATATTAAAATTTTTTTCAACTCCTTTAATGTCTAGCCTGAAATTTTAAGACGGAGTGTGGGTTATATTTATAATGGCCCGCACGCCTTAACTTAACTTGCGTTCTAACTTGCGTCTTCTAATATCTAACCTTAGACAGATTACTCATTTATACTCTCTAGTTTCTTCATGTTTGAATTAAGCTTCTATGTTTGCTTTATATTTAGATTAATTTATGAGTGTAGACTAATTTATGTTTGCTTTATATTTAATGTTGGATGGACAACTTTACTTCATGTTTGATGTTGGATTGAACTTTGAATTTCTATCTGTTTGAATGTTGGAGTTATTATTTCTATTTGATGATGAAGTTTGAATGTTGGATTGAACTTTGAGTCTTTGATTATTTGAATATTGAAACCGACTACCCAACTCACCCCGCACCGCCCCAATCCAACCCAAACATCATTGGGTTGTGAAATTTTTCTAACATCATTAGGGCCAAATATGTGCAACCCACACCTTTTGGGGTAGGAGAAGAAAAAGTCATACCTCTCATCAACCCAACCCATGAACAACAGTGCCTATATGGCTTCTGTTTAATACAATTTTCGTGTTCACTTTTTAAAAATAAAAAATGCTGAATAAATTCTCATGGGCGAGTTATATGTTTAGCTCAATGCAATAAAAAATTAGAAAAATTATAGATGTTTATTGTGTAAATGTATTATTTATGATCGGTAAAAAATAACTTACATAATAAATTTTTTTTATTTATGTGAAAATGTTTTTTAGCAGTTGTAAACAAAATTTATGTGAAAAAAATCTTTTTACTAATCATAAATAATATATTTACGTAGCAAACTGCTATTTATTTCAAAAGATTTTAAATTCTACTATTTACTTAACTACCTTCCCTCTTAGTCTCTCATTTGTCATTAATCACACAAGGACAAGCCAATTTTAATATTAATTTTTTTTGGATTATTTTTATTTTTGGTTCAGAAGTTATAGGTCAAATTTTATGTTGATATTTCGCTCTCAAAGTTTTAAAATGTGTCTTTAATCTACTAATTCAACTTAAGTTGGCCATTTCAATCGTAATGTTATTAAAATTTAGATCGAATGAGACACGTGAGTGCCATGTGAGTCGATTCGGTAATTTCGAGTGGTAAGATAAATGGAGTTACTTTTAGTAATTTTGCTAGGGGGATTTGTGAATGTCGCATGTCCACTTGTGGGCTAGGGTTCCATCTCCTTCTATGGCTTAAGAAGAGTTGTGGACTCTGCTCGAATTTAATATTTTCAAGAGGAATTTTGCTTTGTTGGTGAATAATTAAGGAATTTATGAGTTTTAAATAATGGCTATGTTTATGCGTACGACCTTTCAAAGCCTCTGATTTTGCCACTAGGATTAATGAGCGCCAAAGGTTAGTAGTTAGTTATGTCCATGATGTCTCAACAACCATTCACATGGCATACACGTGCCTCATTATGTAGCAAGTTCAAATGATTTTTGGACAAAGAAAATAGCCTAGGACGAATTAATAGATCAAGGTCACATTTATAAACGTTGTTGAAGTCAAATACTAAAATCATAACCTATAATTCAAAAATTAAGGGGGTGTTTGGTAAGGGGATTTATACCTTAATTTGAATTATGGTTCATGGTTCACTACAGTGTTTTCTCTCACAAAAAATACACGTAAATCGAAAATAGTTCTAATCTCATGATTTTAATCTATGAATCAAACGTCTTATAAATGTCGTTTATGATGTTTCTCTCATTTTATAATTTGTGTCATTTTAGACCAGTGACCTTTTTCTAGTGCTTCCGTCGATTTTAATGGTTATTATCGTTTTAGTTACTTAGGGCGTTTTTTATGTTAAAGACGCGGATACATTCCTTTATGCTATGTATCCTAGGATGGATAAAAAAAAGGAAAATAGAAAAAGTAAAATACTCAAGTGAAGAAAGTAAAATAGTAGAATTAGGTTTCTCTCATGTTGTTTGATAGAAGAGAAAGAAAAATGAAAGAAAATGTCAAATTTAAAGCATTTTAGAAAATGTAAAATCTAAGGCATTTTATAATAATACCCAAATATAAATAAAAATATGATAAATGATAAATGTTAAAATTGTTATTTCATATCACATTTGTTTGTTAAACTTTTTCTCTCTTCTTTTCTTCTCAAAGTTAAAAGCATTAAAAATTGGTGGGCCCCATAGATTTTCATTTTTCTTACTTCTTCATTTCCTCTCCACCAAATAGAGCTGTAAATTTGGGCCGAGCTAAAAGTGCCGGCCTGAGGCCGGCTACTGTTAGCTCATGCCCAGTCCTAAATTTTTTGGGCTTAAGGTCGGGCTGGGCCGACCCTCTCTCCTTTAAAGTTGGCCTACACTAGCCCAAACATCATAATTTTAAAGTTTTTTTTTAAAATATCTTATAAAATTTTGGGTTAGGCCGGACCAGCCCTAAAATTTTTGGAATTAGGGCCGGACTAGGCCAACCCTATCTCTTTTAAGGTCGGGTCAGGCAGCCCAAACTTACACCTCTATTACCAAATAATCTAATATTCTATTTTTCTCCTCAAACACATTGTATTGAGGTTGGTGTTTTTTTTCCTACAAAGAATATTTGGCTTTTAGAAAGAAAAAAAAAGAGCGTCATTTTTTATTTGTTATAGTTTTTAGATTTTCCATTATTTTTTATGAGGAAACATTTTTCATTGTCTCTCACTTTTCAAGTTTCTCATCGTTTTCATCATTTGGTGTTGTTTTCAAATTGAAATAGTTTTCTAGTTGTTATTTTTAAGGGAGATTTCTACAATAGGGCTTGAAAATATGAATTATTAATAGTTCTTTATTTTTAATTGTAAAGTTATATTAAAAATTGTTTGTTACGTAAATTTTTTTATTATTTTTATGTGAATTTGATCAGATTTAAAGATCAAAAGCATTCAACATAGGTAGAAGAATCCGTTTTTAAAAATTGTTATATATTGCTTTCTTTCTTAAAAGGGAAATTGCATAATACCAAAATCTAACAACTCTACGTTTATGCTACTTTCTCTCGTTATTTTTCTGATTTAAAAGAAAAGTTTGATAAGTCCACCATAATACTCTCCAAAGAAGACCCAGATGTCTCATCATTTTGTCAACTAAAACAAATAATCAAGTAAGGGCATGTTTATTTCATATAGTCAAACTTAAATTATTGATTATGCTACAGTTTTCATATACTTAAACTTAAATCATTAATTCTATTACAGTATTTTTCTCTCACAAAAAATTTGAATTTTAAACGTTAGAATCAAGAATTATGGTTTGATTATACATTTCAGACGAGCCCTAAGATATTAAAAATGAGCTACTAAAATATTTTGTATTAAAATTGAGTGAGCCTTTTAATTATCAAAATAATGCAATCAATTATATACGAAAGAGCCCACTTTTTTTTTTCTTTTCAAAAAGAAGAGTATGTTTGTTTGTTTTGTAGGAGGGAGGGAGAGCAAAGAAAGATGGAGAGAGTTGGAAGGATGTGAAAGGTAAAGGATTGAGAGGGTAATATAGCCTCCTTCATAGTATTTGGAGAGATAGGAAAGAGAGAAGACGAGTCTCCATGCCTTTGTTTGGTAATAGAAAGGTTATTAGAGGATTGATAGACTTTTATTCATAAAATTACTACATTGCCATAGTGGTTATTTATGAATTATTTCAATTAAATTTGATGGAGAGTAAAATAGTCTTTTCAAAACTAAAAATTCTCTCTCTAATTTTTTTGGCTCTAGATCCATCCACTAACGGAGGGATGCAAAGTGGTGGCCCAAGGGGGAGCTCATCCCCTACATATCCTCTCACTCCCTATGTCCTTTCCACACATAAGGATTCAATCATTTCCTCCACTTCTCTCCCTCCACTCTCCCCAACCAAACAAGCTGTATAGTTTAGAACATCGGGTTTGATAAGGCTATTTGAGTCTTATGGATTTGATTAAAATCAAGATGTATCATACGAAAGAAAAGAATATGTTCTTGTTCTTTACTAGCCCAGATATCTGATATCCAGTGGGAATGGTCAGTCGTTGTCAGTTGATGTGACGACCCTAACTTTTGATCGTCATCCTATACTCATACTTAACATTACTTAATCTCTAACACTTACTAGTTATAACCTCTTAAAAACTCATGCTATTTTTTTTCCATTCTTACCATGTATGTTTAAATGTTGTAGCATTTAGCTAGCATTTTGTTTCCTACCATTCATAAAATGCTGCATTTAGCTAGCATTCAGTTACATTAGTCATCAAAATACATAAAACACTATTTTATTTTACACATAAAGTACATCAGCGCTTTCAAAACACGTGATACATCCACAACCCACTTGCCCACATTTCTTCTCATTACCACTGTCTCCCACCAGTAGCGGGCATCTTTCTTTAACACATACGAAGCACAAATAACTTTTTCTTGCTTCGTTAGATTCATGAAATCCAGAATCATTTGGAGTGAAGTTAACCACTCTTCAGCTTCTAGCGGGTCAGTGGAACTTTCAAATTCTGGTGGCTTCATCCTACGAAACCGCACATATAAGGGTTCCTGATTAACAATAGGCATAGCTTGTGGCACCATTTCTGGCATCGCCGCAGGCTCTGGTTGCGGTGCTGGTTGAACAGGTGGCGCTCTTCTTCGCTCCTGTTCCTGGTCTCTTTGCTCTAACTGTGCCCATAAATTTCTATTTTCCTGCTCATGAGCCTCCAGTC